GGACGTTAGCAGTAAGTACGATTATGTGCTGTTTAAAGGAGATTCTGGGGATATGAACGACACAAAAAGTGGTCAAAAGTGGTGGCATATGGTCCAAAGTGGTGCCGACTGGTTGCGGTTTATTCCCCAGAAAAACGTATGAACTCATTTATCAATCCAAAAAACTCTTCCAACTTAACAAGATACATGTACACATCATCTATCCAAATCAGCAGGTGTTTGTAGAATAAACGTATGAAACAGTTCTTGATTGTCATTTGAAGATGCAGGGCGGCATCACTGCAACTCTGTGGAACTCGCGTCGGTGTTAAAACGTTTGTATCAGTCATGCAGATCTGAATCTCTATGCTGGCCTTTGCGAGGGGCAATTGCCAAAAGCCCTTGACGAACAAACCAAAGAAATCCATTCCTCGGACATGCTTAGTGATGACCTGCAGAATCGGCATCGGTAGATATTTTATCGGGTCGGATACGGGTAGGGCATGGTAATGGGGTCAGGCGTTCGAAATCGATCTTTCGGATGGTATATTAACGGGGTTTGACATTGGGATGCGGGGTCGTTACGAAACTATAGTGGCCGACTTGTTTGGTATTCGTTATGAAACTCCTCCCATTTATAGAAGTTATCGATTCCTAGCCATTTGGTCTTGCTGGTAACCACTTCTAACCTTTCAACACTTGTCCTTCGCCCGTTTAGTTCTTTCTTCATACTGGACAGCAGAGCAACATCTACTACAACTAGTTCCGGCAGCTGACATGGCGTTCGCCGATCCGGAACCACCGGATCCAGCAGAAGGTATCGCCACAACGCCCTCCAGCGACAACGCCACACCAACATCCCTTCAGCAATCACAACCACACCAGCAACGAGTGCGTCACGAGCAACTTGAACTCAGACGGCAGTGCGACTGCCTCACACTGCAGCAACCCGACAAGAGCGCAACATCAGCTCTATTAACATTGGTGGCTACCATATACACGCGCCTGGTCATCACGTCGCAAAATCGTATACCGCTGTAGTTATTATCGTGGGACAGGGTGCATGGGTAAAGTCGAATTCTTAGCTGCATCGATGGAGTATGGTAACTTTATTCAACATACCTGTCAGCAAGATCACGTGGTTGCAGCACCTACAGTCGATATATTGGAGCCAATGAGAGAGGCTGTCGACGATTTGGCTCGTAGCGATGTCGCTTTGTCTGCCGGTGCTATTTGATCCCGTATCAACGATCAATTTTACGGCGGAGCTCAGAATCAGGCACTAATAGGACTCACAAGAGAGCAAGTACTCAGCCGGGTATACCGTATCCGTAATCGACACTTCGGTGGCAACATACACGGCCGCATTGAGATGCCTCCGTTGTCACGCGTCAGTGGTCGGCCTTTGAACTTCTTTCAATTTCACTATATTACCGGCTTCAACGACAGAGACCAACCAAGTAGATTTATCGGGTGGGCGCGCCCCGAGTTAATTGCACTGTTAAAATACGCGGGTACATCGTTATTTGGTGAAGCGCCAAATCAAGGAACGCTGTAGGGAAAATGGAGTTGCATATGCCCGCTCTAGGTGGGACATATTCTGGCGCTACTTTAAGCGCACATGGCTTGAGCTCTATGACCCTGTTCTTTGCAATGTCCAAGGACTAACTGAACGTCTTGTTACACGAACGAATAACCCATTAGAACGATTTAACCGAAAACTAAATGCTGCATTCTCGACACCCCATCCAAGTATGGCAATGTTCGTGGCCACGATCGAGGCTCTTACGCGAGAGCACGTTGCCCTGTTAGACGCAGTTCGTGGCAGACGTGCTCGCGGAGAACAACGCGAGACTATTCAACTGCCTAGAGCGGTTGAGCTGTCGACGGAGTCTGAGGACTCAAGCTCTGATGAAGATGACACGGAGATGCAGG